CTCGTCGCTGAGTGAAGGAGCCATCCTCGCCTGAACCCCTCTTTCCCCCCACTTTCTCTCTCCCTCCTCCCCTCGTCCTCCCCCTCTCCCCCTCTCCACGCCCCCGATTCGGCACGAGAAGCAGCAGGCGCACTGCCATGCCCGCGGTCGGCTGTGGCAGAGCCGCGCACTACGTCCCGGCCATACGCGCCGACAAGGGCAACGCAACCAAGTCGACACAACCGCTGCGGCGCGAGAGCTGCGCGGCTGTCACGGCCCAGCAGCGGCCAGGCATGAAGCACCGCGCCCATTCGGCGCCCATTGTGCCCAAGGTGGCGGGCAAGGGCAGCGATAGGGAGGCAAACCACGACCACGACCATGACAGCGAGGACAAGGACGGCGACGAGATTGCAGACGACGCCTTCTTCCAGCGCTACCACTTCCCCCAGCCCGAGGGCACCCAGGAGGAGCCCGAGCACAGCGGTGTAGATTCGTCGAGCGACACCGAGGGCCCGCTCTCGCCCTCGCACATGAAGCAGCGCCAGTCGACTGACGACGCACCCTCTGCGCCCTCGACGGGCTCGGCCAACAGCGACTCTGCGTTGACCATGCAAGACATCAATATCGCCATCATTGGCGGCCCCGCCACCGGCAAGTCAACCTTTATACGGCGCGCCCTCGGCCTGAGCGACACAACAGCGTCAAGTAACTGCGTGCGCAAGTGGACGATTGACGGCACCCCTTACATGGTGCGCTTCCTCGAAATGCCCATGGACGACCTGCACGCAGGCGAACGCAACACCATCGCGTGGCCGGCCACCATACACGACATCGCCACCCCGCGCATGGACGCTGCCATTGCCATCTATGATGTCACGAACCAGGACAGCTTGTCCCAGGTCCCTGAAACGTTAAGTCAGTGCACACACGTGCAAGCCGCATAAGACTGGCTTTATTTGTCTGAGCAGCTGCCTAACGAATTCGGCAGATACCCTCTCCAAGGCACACCTTCCCTTTATCCTCGCCGCCTGCAAATGCGACCAGCACCCCGCCCACCGTGAAGTCGATCCGACCGTGGTCGAGCAAAAGGCAAAGTCCTTCATTGGCGATATCAACGTGTTTCAAACGTCGGAATCCTCACCGGAGTCGCACCGAGCATGCTTCTCGGTTATCACACGTGCGGCGATAGCGGCCAAGCGACGTGAGTTTTGAATCCTCTTTTCCCTCTCCACATTCGGCAAAGATGATCCCTTTTTGCATTTTCCCCCACTAATATAAACATGGCCGCAAATACAGGCCAACCCCCGCAACTTATCATGCTGACCTTGCTCTATAGCACAATCCCAAGCGTCAATGGCTCGCAGACGCGCCAATTCCTCGGCGGTAAAATCCATCACCCAGAAGGATATGTGGAGAAAGCATGAACGGGCCAGCTCCGAGATTTCTGTCCGATATCAACGTGGTACCACTGAGGTCAAAGGCCACCGCTACAAACCGAGTGACGCAAATAAGACCTTTTTCAACGCGGACGAGTCCCCTGGCTACGACTCCCAGGATTCGGATGGCCAGGACTCGGATCACGCGCCGAGCATCATGTCGATGCTGCCCTCGGACGAGAATGGCTACACGTTCGATCAGTTGGTCGACAGATTATTGGCGCAACCCATGTCGAAAAATGACTCCAAATTCGTTGCCATATTCCTAGCGCTGTACCGGAGATTTGCAACACCAGGCCAGCTACTGGAAGCCATTCTGAAACGATTCGAAGAGGCCAATCTGGAAAAAGTGCTGCCCATGATTCGCATCATCGCACAGTTACGTTACCTTGCTGTCCTCCAACAATGGGTAGCGTACTACCCTGGCGACTTTGCTTACCCCACCACACGCCGCCTGGTACGGAGGTTTGCTACAGGACTGGCATCCAATCGTGAATTCTCAGTCGCTGCCACGGAGATTCTGCGAGATCTCGAAATGGTCACCGAGGATGATGACACGGATTGGGCTTGCAGCGATCGTCAGCGAGCCCAAAGCGACCAACTCCCCTCCTTTCACAACAATGTCCTGGACGAGTGCTCTGATGACGACGATTTCTCAAGAGCAATCGGCCACATGTCCATGGGCTCGGATCGTCTTTCGGTCGCTCGGAGTAGTGTGACAGGCGGATCACTGTCAACTCACACCTCCGCCGGCTCATCACATGCCCTGCTCACACAGGTGGAGAGGAATGAGCGGCTGGCTCGGCAACTAGAGCCCAATCCCATCAAGCCCCTGTCAAAAATACAGTGGCATCAACTGATGAATGAATCCGACGAAGCGATTGCTCGAGAGCTTACGAGAATGGACTGGATCATGTTCTCCTCTGTCCGACCACGGGATATAATACGACATGTTACTCTGAGTGCGGAAGAGAAGAAGAAGTGCAAGAACTTGGAGAATGTGACTCGAATGACGGAACACTTCAACCACATTGCTTACCTCGTCACAAATTACGTCCTCATGCGCGACAAACCGAAACACCGAGCCCTGATGCTGGAAAAATGGATGAAGATAGCTCGACAACTGCGGAAGCTCAACAATTACAACTCCCTCGGCGCTGTTCTGGCAGGTATCAAAGGCACGGCCGTGCATCGTCTATTAGCGACTCGCGACCTCATTCCTCAAGCAACAGCCCATGACTTCCTCAAACTCGACATCCTCATGGGCCCCCAAAAGTCCCATTTCGCATATCGCTTAGCATGGGAGAACAGTTCTGGCGAACGGATACCGTATATCCCCCTCCATCGTCGCGATCTTGTTTCTGCTGCCGAAGGAAACTCGACTTTTGTTGGTGACAAGAGGAAGACAGACTCGGCAGTTGCCCCGCACCCCGGCGTCAACGTTTTTGAGCATGTAGTGGGCAAAAGGGATAGCAGGGAGCCGCCACCGAGTGGTGTAAAGGGCAAAGAAAGAATCAATTGGCGCAAGTTTGAGATTATGGGCGAAGTCATTGTGGGCGTGCAGCGCGCGCAGGGCACGCCCTATCCAAACTGGCAAAAATGTGAGGAAGTGCGTAACTTGGTGTTGGATGTCAAGGTCAACAAAGACGACGACGTGAGTATTACGCCTTTTTCGGCTCAAGGTTACAGGGAAGCTGACATGAGAGACAGGACCTCTACGAGCGTAGCACCCATCTCGAAGCGCCCGGTGCCAACGAGAAAGGCAGATTTGCCAAATGGTTCCGAGAGCGTTAGTGCCTCATTCCATTTACCCCTCAATTTTCACGTCCACATTTACCCACATTGTCCCTGGCTTTCCTCCCTTTGTATTTTTGATAGACGAGGAAACTAAGTCTTGTGGTTGCGATTTAGCGCGTTTGTCACTGCCTTCTTTGCCGCCAGTGCAGAATTACCAATCTGCAGCGAGTTCGAGCAATTATGTCCGCATTTGACGGATTTCACGCACCACCCACCCGTCAGTAGTACCTCACCACACGACATTTCCAGTCCTACATTTCATACTGTCCAACACACCTAAACATACATTCACCTCTTTATCATCCACCATTCGGCGTTGGCTTTGTTTTTCCTTGCTCGTTGACATATCATCACCACATCTTTTCCGCGTTATATACCACTTGTCATCTATGGGTCCCGATCACGTCCTTGTTCGGATTGAATTTTGTTGGCACACGTTTCTTTTTGTTGTCCATCCATGGCACATGGATTTACTTATCCGACCTCTGTACCTCTATAATCCTGTCGTCTTCATTTGATTCTTTATGTTTTTTTCTCTCTATTGTTGTTTTTGGGCGTATTGTAACTCATTTATCGCTAGTGGCGACTTGGGAGTTGGAATTGGATACCCGATACTAAAGCCACACACACACGCGCGCGCACTCTGTTGGCGGCGGCCGCGAAGCAAAGCGCTAGAGATGGGCGCTGGGAAAGGGCAAGGGAGGGTACAAGAAAAAGGGATAATTGGCAAAAAGGAAAATAGGAGATTTCATGGCGTTCGTTTGGGGGCCCGTGGGTACGGAGGAGAAAAAAGTTGCGGGCGTGGGGAGGTGGAGATGGTGGGGAGGGTTTGTGGGGTAGTTGGATGTGGTGGATGTGGAGGATGGGCGATGGGTGGTGGTTAGTGTAGTGGAGGAGCGAGTAGAGAATATATCAAGGGAATATTTTGTCTAGAGTTGGTGCGCGGGAGAGGGTAGTTGTGTGTGTGTGTGCACATGTGTCCATGCGTGTGTGAACATGAGGTTTAACTTGTAACGAAGCCATGATTGTAACCACAGTCATTGGATACCCGGCCTCTTGGCCAAGAGACAAAAAGACGGCTTGGAAGGGAGGGACAGGGGGGGGGGGACCAAAACAATTATTTGGGGAAGGATTGGGGTTAAAGGGGGGGGGGGGGGGGGGGGGTTGTTTTACTTTGTATAGTTTTTTTTTACTTTGTACTTTTTTGTACTTTTTGCTTTACTTTCCATGCATTCCCTGATTTACTATTATTATTATTTTATTCTTTATTTCTTATCACTATTCCTCGTACTGGTAACTTTATTCGTTATTACTTTATTCCTTAATATTTTATTCGTTATTACTCATTACTTGATCCCTTATACTCATTCCCATCATCCAATACACCTCACACTCATCCCTTTCACCCAATACACACCCCACGCACTACCTCCCCACCATATACAACACCACTCCCCCTTTTAACAACGTTGCGGCACCAGACGTTACGGACTAGGCGACGTAGGAGACCAAGGGATCTTAGTACTGTACCTATTGTACTGATATCGCTTTCTTTCTCTTTTCCTCTATAGAAGAGTACAGTGCGTCACATCACATCACACCTTCAACAATAATCCCCCCCTCCGCTGCATGCCGGGCAGATGGACAGGAACGACAACCTTCTGAGCGCTCTTGTGCAGAGCAAAAGCCTCAAGACGGCAAATGGTGAATGGGTTCTCCTGTATTTTGAACCGAGGAGGCAAATCGACCTTTGGGGCACTAACAGCTGGTTCCGCGGCTGCCAGAATGAGTAGTCTTGGGAAGCTTCATGGTTCGG